CACTTACCTGGGTCTTAGTAAGAAGTTTTAAATAATTAAGGAACAGAAAAACGAAAGGATCGAATTTCTGCTACACAAAAACAATTTTCTGTTATAAATATGCAAAACACCCTGCCTTATTATTAACAAAACAATTCAATTGAAATTTAATTCTCAAAGATGCCCGGATGACTGGTGCGCTTCATTTACATATATTGTAATAAATTTCAAAAGATTCAAAGGATTCGTTGTTTATCTCGTGAAAATTTATTTTTTAATTGTAAAATTAACAGAGTTCTTTATCCAAATGATTTTGCTAAATATTCCTGTTCTCGTAATATTTATTGCATTTTCCTTAAGCATTACTGATGGTTGGCTGTGCTGGCGGTTTATTCCTCTCGACAGGACTTGTAATAATTAAAATGATTCTTAATGAAAATTCTGAATAAAATCATAATCATTGCCTTCCTTAAAACAAAATGTGTTGCTATTAAACCAGGAAGTTGTAAGAAGGCCAAGCAAAAAGAATGTAAAAGGTGTCAATATTTCAGCTTGTTCATAAAAGATATGGAATAAATTTTACTAAAAAAAAAAATACCTGCTAATGAGTTATTTATTCCAAAACCAGTGTTTTCACACTCCCTAAATTTTTTCTTTAACTTTTTTCATACGTCTATTGAAACCGATCACGGTAGGCTAGTGATAGGGCGTTCGTGTATGATCAAGAGGCCCTGGTTCGTTTCTCTTTCCCGGCGCTGCGTCAAATCTAAAACGTAATCATAGTTAGTGACTGTTCCTTCGCCAAGCGCCCAGCACTAGAAGTGAAGTCACGGGTCTTTCTGATCAAACGTTTTATAAAAAAATGATTACCTGTGTCACGGTAGGCGTGTGCACGATAAAGAACCCTCACTGCTCAATGACTGTAAGTGCCGAGTAAATTAAGTCTAAATTTGAGTCCCTTCACCGGTATATGGTGACATCTCTATATGAGTGAAAAGTTCTCAAATGGGACGTAAAACAAGACACATGTACAGTCAACCAATCGTACCTCTAATAATCATTGCGTTATGTTGTAATAATATCTCAGAGATCTATATCTGCCATCTAATTTAATGAAAGACTGCTGCTAACGACAATCTGCTACGAATGCCCCATTGCTTCTTTTATGTCAGTTCTATGCAAGAAAGGGGAAACATGTTAAAAACCCACAAGATCCAGATGTTCAGCATATATGATTAGGCAGTATACCCTATCCAACCTTTAGGATTGGAGACACATTGGGGTGGATCTCAACATATATCCTACATTGCCCCAAAAATTATTATAAATGTTAAAGAAAATAATTGCTCCAACTCCAATTATTATAACTGACGTGAGGAGATACGTTAATCTGTTGGGGGCGAATATATCATTAACTGACTAAAGCTTTCACTGAGAATTATAAGCATTGCTCATAGTCGACGAATTATAATATGATTATATGTGAATCTGTATTTATCAAATGTTTGCAATGGTTATTGTCCCTTCACAAGTCTAATGTATTCATATTTCATTTAAGCCTCCACAATTCACACCGCAATTATAGCCACCTGTTTTGTATGGCTTCAGACAAAAAGTTTTGACAAATTGTTGAATATAAACACAATTATCTAATAAAACAAATAAAATGATGACGAAGAAAAAAAAATCTACCTTGTGGCAACTTTTGGTTCCTATGTTCTAGAAAATGCACGTTTGAATATATATATAACGAGAAAATCGTAGCATTACAAAGCTTAAGAAACAAAGTCTTAATTATCCTTGGTATCTATTTTTGAATATAGTAAATCATACAAAATGCCTAATATGCATTATTAATTTCTTGCCACTTAGTAGATTTAAAGAGTAATTTATGTTCTTTTGGCAAAAGAGCAGTTAAAAGATAGGAAATATTTTGTTGACCTTTGAATGATGTAGAATAAAACAAAGGAAAAGAAAATTCTACATTCCCTCCATATTAACTTACCAGCACAGAAATCTTAATTAATCCACATGTATATGTTCTAAACTTTAAGACAACTGCAAACACCCTGATGCAACATAGAATCGATGAATAATGCAGATGGAAAATTCATTGAAGGAATGCGAGGGAAACTTGTGTAATCACTTGCTTTGATTGGTTCACTGCAAAGCTTTTCAGCATTAAGGCGGAGCAAATGAGGATCCATTTTTATTCCGGAAAGTCAAAATGCAACTAACTAGCTCAGAAGATATTACTGTAATTGGACCCCGTCCAAATATGTAACACATGCAAAGACACTGTCATTGCTAATGCTATTTAGCATTCACAATAGAGTTTTCATATAATAATTATAGAAAACTGCGAGCATTTTGGGGTGTATCAAGTCTGAATTTGACTTTGATTTAAATGATTACTAATATACGGAGGCAGATATTCCACTTACCCATCATATGTCTATACCAACCCAAACTTTAGTGAAAGTAGATGAACAATGTCTCTTGGCATATTTTAACACCAGAGGAAGCGAACAAAAAGCTTTTGGATCAAAAAAGACAAGAAGTTTCAATTTTTTGTTCAGGTGCAGCACTGGCAAAATAAAATTACTTGCTTTTTTCACATTGCTGAAATACACGTAACACGTTAAGAGTCCAATCGATAAAAAAATTCATACTCTCTCTATGCATTTGATGTAAATAAGCCAATTCAGTGATTTCATGAAATTAAGTCTAGGGTATAACAAGGAATCTGCAGCGTAGATTAATATCTTGTCGCAAATCTACACTAACTCTGAGGATCGAGAATGTGTTACTTATGGATCCATTAAAACTGTGGAATGAGAAGGTTTTTTTTCTCAATTTTATCAATTTGCTAAAGAAAAATATCACAATTAAATTGCCCTCGACTTTCTCTATGCGGAGCACATCGCAATCAATAAGATTTTCAATAACGTTTTCAATATTAATCAACCTTAGTATTTTTATTAGATTGTTAAAAAATATGCCCCTTAATTTCTAAATCATCATGACCATGGCAGTGAGTAAGTCTTTTGTTTGTTTGTGTGTTTTGTTTGTGTGTTTCTTTGTTTTTTTTTTTTTTACTTTTCGAATATAATAATTGAGTCTACTAGATAATGTGACAACCAGAGCAGTCTTTACAAATAAGGAACTGATTTGTTATGTATCAGCCTGTATCTGTAACTGTATCTCACTGTGCATACGTACATAACAGATGTTCCTAATGTCCTTTTAAAATCTTAGGTTCATAAAAACAAACAACATTTTGGGTCACTGTAAATTTTCTTTAAGACTGGAAAGGTATCAGCATGGAAAAAATTGAATGGCGATTTAAAAAGATATAACACATTAAATACAATTTGTTTTATATTTGTCAGAATAGTTCGATCTAATCGCATTTGGTAGTTAAAGGTGCTTAGACACAGATTTGAACTTAATATTTTCTCAAATTTTCTGTATAATATCACGACTTATATATTGCAATAGCACTTCACACGAAAATATAATTAAAAACTTATTTTATCTGGAAATTATTGGAACTACGAATTCCGGGACGCGTTTGATTAACACATCTTTGCACTTACACAAATTTTAACTTTATCCTTAATATTTAAGAAAAGAAGCGATTTTGTTATGCATTAATGAAAACTATTACATCTATAATCTAGAAAATTCAGAGTAGAAATGTTCGAAAGCAAAACCAACTTATCAGTATTGTTCAGTCCATGCTCTGTGATGTGTACAGAGTTTAACAAATTGAATACACCCGTGAAACGTGAACTGTTTATGTAAACAGGGCACGAGCTCTATTATTGTTAATGTTTACGATTCACCGGGTGTGTTCAATTGTTAAAGTCTGCACACACCACTGAGCACGGACTTACAATAATGTGAGTGGGTTTTGCTTTCGAACATTTCTACTCTGAATGTTCTGGGTTATAAGTTTTAATATTTTTCATTAATACACAACAAAATTGCCACTTTTCTTTAAGTATTAAGAATAAAATAAAATATGTGAAAGCGCAAGGATATGTCAATCCAACGCGTCCAAAAATTCGAAGTTTTAATAACTTCGAGATGAAATAAGATTTTTATTATATTTTAGTATGAAATACTATGGAAACATATAAGTCATGAAATTATACAGAAAATTTGAGAAAATATTAACTTCAAATCTGTGTCCAAGCACCTTTAAAAGAATGAATTCAATGATACAATCACTGTGTCTTTGTTTGGCTTTACGGTCAACTGTTCACACACCTAGCACTGTGACAATGCATTTTGAAAAAAAAATCAAAATGCGTAAAAATTGGGACAAAATCAACGCACCTTGAATTTTCTTTTCAAAGTGCGTTATATTTGGGACAAAATCAATGCACTTTGAATTTTTTTCCAAGTGCTTTAATAGTGTTCATCAACATTATTTACCATCGAAACACTTAACGCACTTTGTGTAATGTAACCCTTTCCCACATTTTAAATCTAATTTCTTCGGGAGAGGGCTACAATCCCACAAGACCTCTAATATGGTAATCGTAAACGGGCAACTTCAGGCGAAATAATCGCTTTTTCATTCGACTTCATTCGAAGAAGATAATTTTTTATTTTCTTATCAACATCTTAGCCTTTTATGCGCTTACACATGGTAAAACTACATACTTAATTACCAGGAATCTTCTTCATCTTTCTGGCAGGTCTTTAGCTGCCATTGTACGTCTCGTATATGATATAATGAGACTTGTGCTTGAAATTTAGTAAAGTTTGATAAGTTAATGTTAGTGTAGATAAATGATTGTGTTGCGTGATATCAATAACACCGATTATAAATGAGAGCATTCGAGATGGAATGTTATTTCTTTATTTTTTTTTTTTTTTTTTTTTTGAAACAACGATATTTATGCTTAAAATAAATGATTTCCTATTTAGATCCGCACAATAGATCCCGAATTCGCATTGGCTTTTCAAAACAAAAATGGATCAAGGTCAGCAAACATGGCGGAATGTTGACACGAAAAATAAACGATATGTGAATTATTCATTTTATTTTTGGATCAGTTTATGTTTTTCAAGACAGCAGTTTTGAGTTCAGGTAAGATAGTCACTTTTTAAATAATTTTAGCCAAAGTTTGTTGGGTTGTGGATCCCTCCTGCACATACAGATTTATTGAGATACTACCCTCTACCTGAAAAAATTGAAGAGGTCTAGATTATTGCAGCTAGTTTTCAAAGCATTAAAGCTTTCATAAAAAAGACTTACGAATTATTGGTCCTCTCCCGTTTCAATTTTAAACTCTTCCCTACTTGGTATATTTTATATTTTAAATTAAACAAGAGGCCCTTGGGACACAACGCTCATCTGAGTAACTTTGGTCCTACTGTTCTTCACAAGATTTCCTCACTTGTAATACCTATTGTGGCCCTACCCTACCCCTGGGGGTCACGATTTGAACAATTTAGAATCTATACCACCCTAGGATGCTTCCACTTAAGTTTCAGCTTTTCTGGTCCAGTGGTTCTTGAGAAGAAGATTTTTAAAGATTTTTCCTATATATTTCAATGTAAAACTTGGATTCCTTATTGTGGCCCCGCCCTATCCCTGAGGGTCATGATTTGAATAATTTTTAATCTACACTACCCCAGGATGCTTCCACCTAAGTTTCAGCTTTTCTGGCTCAGTGGTTCTTTAGAAGAAGATTTTTAAAGAGTTTTCCTATATATTTCAATGTAAAACATGGATTCCCAATTGTGGCCCTACCCTACTCCCGTGGGTCATGATTTGAACAATTTAGAATTTACACTACCCGAGGTTACTTCTACGTAAGATTCAGCTTTTCTTTGCCAGTGGTTCCCGAGAAGAAGATTTTTAATGACTCCACCCTATTTTTGTCTTTTCTTGATTTTTGCTTTGTATGGTTGTACCAGAAAAAGATCCCAATTAGGTTATTTTGCAGCTGCTCATAACTTTTTCATGAAAATGCAATTGATGCATTAAAACACAAATTGGACAATTATTTCTGTATTATCCTATATTGTCCTTAAGGAGGGATTCTTCTCTGGTTTCTGACTAGATGAAATACTCAAAGTATATTTGCTTATATGTTTTATATTTTTAGATGTAAGAGATTTAAAAGATGATATTTATCTTTCCTCATCACAATTGTACAACTTTAAATAGAAATGGTAAGCTGAGTTTGAAATCTAGCGGGACTATATTTTTGGCGGAATGACGGCGTATGAAAATATCTTCTTTTCTGCCTCTCAAAATAATTATAGAACAATGAATTTAGTTATAATTTTTACACAATCAAAGACTTGGAGAAAATTTTTAAATGTAAATTAAATTAATAATAAGGGACTAAAGTTTTAAAACATATCAAATAAATATGATTTTCGAAACAAACTACAATTATGTTAGCTTTTAAAACTTCCAATCTAAGTTCAGATTTGAGCCAAAAATCCGTAAAAAGTTTTTTTTTCTCTCTTAGTAAACGGTCAAAACTTTTTGTTTTTATATCATTTTGTATCTTTATGTGACAACTTTACCATATGTGAAAATAAGAAAAATTTAAATATAGGAAGCATATAAAAACAACTAAAATATCTTAAAATTTTAAGAAAAATAGAGAAAATTCGGATTAGCCAATATCCATTTTAGTTAAATTATTTATGTCAATTTGGTAATATCATCTTATAGATCCTATATGGTAATATCTCTTTATGAAAAAAGAAAAATATTTAATTTATTGAAATAGAAGTAGGCATCGCATGATTGGCAACAGTAATTTTTTATTCTTAATGTCCAGGGGAAAGGTACTGACCTTGACCTGACCTTGCCTCTAATATAAAACGGTCAAATTTAATCTAACTAATACCATCACTTATTGATATTGTCTTCTTGATTCTGTGAAAATTTCATTGATTTTTAAATATAAGAAATAAGTGTTCTTAAGAGAAGAATCCCTCCTTAAGTTTAAAGCAGGTGCCATTTTTGAGCAAAATGGTTACAATACACTTAATTCTCTCGTATACTGAACTTTTTTCAAGAAGTTATAAATCAGTTTTAAATTAGATGTCATCGCATACAAAAATTCTTTTATCAATTTCTTTATAAAAAGTATATGAAATGTTGCTAACTGACGTTGCCTATAATTGACTTGTGGGATTTCTGGATTCGTGGGTAATTACCTTACAAGATTTAACCAAAAAAGCGTTTAAGGCAGTTGAAAATCTGCTCAATTAGGAGGATAGAATATGGTGTATTATTTCAATATTTTTTGTGATTAAGCTTAAGCGGATTTATTTTCTATTTTAAACAAAAAAAACATTGCAAATTTACGTTATTTATGCTATTTGGTAGCTATAAAAATCATTTATTTTTGAACGTGAGTTTATTTGTGATGCTCATAAACACATCCATTCTTTGTTTACTTGTATTGATTTAAGCTAATGATGGGACAATAGTTATAATATTGCATCATTCGTAATTACTGGTATTATGGTATTAAAAATACTGGTAAAACTCCTTTTGAAACACATATATTTGCCAAATATGCAGTTAAACAGCAAATATGACAACTGTATCTTGCAGTAGATTTTATGGTGCACAAAACACCCCACTAAACCAATCATTATCTTAGAGCTTAGCAAAATCAAAGTTAAATAATGTGCACAACATGCCATTGAAAGAACATAATACATGGCAGGTCGGGGGATGAGTATGATATTTGAGGCCTATGACAGTATTTGTTATGGAAGCTATAGTTCGATTTGGCATACCTAATTACAATAAGATATATCACTTTCTTTCAATAAGGTCCATAAAAATTTCTTTGTTAAGCCATATAGGGAATTCTTTGACTAATATAAAATCCACTGACCACAAATTTTTTGTATGACTATCTAGTGATCAGATTAACTGTTTACACATCTACTGAATACCCTTATAATAATCCCACACCAGTAACAAAGTGCCCCTTGTGCATGTACTAATTGGTGATCATTTATGAAATATGAAATGGTTACAGTTGGAACATTCACTGCACAACATGTCATTATATATATATATATATATATATATATATATATATATATATATATATATATATATATATATATATATATATATATATATATATATATATATATATATATATATATATATATATATATATATATATACCATGACGTTCTAGGAAGAATATGAGGCCAAGTGTTTGTAAGTTTAGACTGAATCATTTGAGTTGTTTCTCTCATCTTTTAGCATAGCTCAAGTAAAGGCACATTACCAATGTCATTACCACAACAGTGAATAATTAAAATATCATGCAATGGTTCATACCTCAATAGAAACTCAATGTGGGGAAACAATTTTCTCCATGTTCGACCACCTTTGCCCTGCCAAAGTATGTGATAATTTAGTCGTCTAAGTCACAAATGTGATCTTTTTAGTTGAAAGCCTTGCGCGTTGAAAAGCACACTTAAAAATGGATGATCCAACTAACCAAATACTCTTTTCTTACCCTATGTGATAAAATTTCTCTCTCCTGGTTTCTGATATGTTTTATAAGCATGAGAAATCCATCTACCTTTCATATATATATATATATATATATATATATATATATATATATATATATATATATATATATATATATATATATATATATATATATGGACTTCATCATCTTCATTGAAAGAGTGAAGTCAGATAAAAAATTACATCATAAAACTTATCTTCACTGTAAATCTTAACCGAGGCAAGCTATTGATTACCTGTATAACATATCAGGCTTACATAGGGCGTGACACTGCGGGAGTGACCTGTCGCTTTTATGATCCGACATGTAGGTTATGTGTTTGGCTTCCTATACTGTAGATTCCTAAATATACGCGAGGAATAAATTATCGCGTAATTACGCGAGAAGCACCGCTCGCGAAATAAAATTACTCGCTTTTATTTTTATGGTGCTTTAATGTATGTAAAATCTCTAGATAAATCAACCATTCGCGAATTATTATTCTCGCGATTTGACGCCCTTGGGTCATTTCGCGATAATAAGTACTCGCGTAAAATAAGGAATCTACAGTACTTCTTAAGATATTAAATTTTGCAGTTGCCCTGATTGAGAGTCCCTCTTGAGATTGAGAGACTGAGATTATATATTTACAAATAAGAAAAAGGCCAGTGTTTCAGCTTTGATGATGTGCTTTTTAATAAGCTGAAAAATGTTTTTGGACGTGGATTCAAAAAGTAATTTTAGCATTTTTAAAAGGCATTTTTCTGCACTCCGTATACGTACAATACATATTATGCTTATCAGTGTTCGCATCTAAAATCACTTTATTATTTTTTTTTTTTTCATGACTAAGTGTAACATCCATAGCAAAAATGCTTCAGTTACATTTGTAACTATAGTTTATTATGTAATTTTAACAGGTGATCAGTTTAGTCTAGTTTCTAATTTCATGTTGTTAGGAATGAAGCAAATAGATCTTCTCGAGCTTTAATACAAAACACAAGAGATGATGACTCAGATTAAGAATGTACAGCAGAACAAATAAATATCCAATTAAAGCACACTTTCAATATCCTTCACACAAACAATATCCAAAGATTAAGTTTACTGTTGAATTTAAGAGGAATTCCTTTTTTCTGTTCTACAATTTATATTTCTTTTCAAAAAATAAAAAAAAAATCGTATTATTTTCTATGATACACGTATACATGATTAATACGACTGAAAAATGTATTATTGTTTTTGTTTATTGCCAGCTTTTTCCACTCTGAGGAGTTATTGCATTTTTTATGAGCAAAGAATTAAAAAGGAGATACTTTTGCTTTTTGTGCAGAAAACAGAACATAATCCTACAGATGGTCAGTCTAAAGAATAAGGATATGATCAGAGAGATACACAGGGTTTTTTTTTTGTTTTTTGTTTTTTTTTTTTTTGAATTCCTTATTTCTTTGTATAGAATATGGCCATTGCTGGAAAGAAAATTAGACTATGTTTAGAACTTCTTTCTTTCAAACAGATTTAAAATTTCCCAGAGGTTATGGGTGAAAATTCTCTTAAATCTTAGGAAAAGGGAGATAACAATTATAATCTTATAAGATTTAATTATTGAGCAAAAGGTTTATGACAGAATTGATGCATTTTCGTAGGAAATGTAAGTAATTCTCCAGTCAGTTTAGAAAATTTAATTAATTGGATTTAAAAACTGCATCTTTAAATACAGTATACATGTAGATGTTAAGCCAAAAATTAAATTAGCATTGATAAATAGAATGAAAATACACAGAATTGTTACAAGTATGTTTAATCATAGATAATTTGTATGTTTACAGAGCAGCATATATTACAGGAGGACTTCCATGCTCTGACCAAGACTATAGTATGTAAGGTCTGTTGTGACAAGGTTGTGGCCGCAGTGTTCCTGCCCTGTGGTCACTTAGTATGCTGTCTGGACCGTGCCACCGCCATGAGGAGGTGTCCCCTCTTTGCAGAGCTCATCAAAGGCACAGTCAAAACCTACTTTGCTTAATAAGCTCTGTACATGTAGGTAACTTTTCTGCAGATTGAACTGTTCTGTTATGACAGGCTGTTTTAATTTCTTAAAATAAAGTGTGTGAAGGTACAAAGTCTGTTATATAAAAGAAGTTACAAATAATGATCAAAATATTTTGTATGGGTTTTGGTCCAATTTGCCAAAGACCAAAAGTATAAAGCTAATAAGTCTGTCTTTTTAACTTTTAAAATGCTAGCACTACAGCTTTATAGAAAATTACTTAAAAATGCATAACTCTGTCAAAGACCAATTTTGTTTACATAAAAGCCAAATTTTGAAAACCTCTAAAAATGTACTTCAGTTGTATGTATTGTAAGGAAAATCTTACTTAACAAAAATTAGTATAGTTTAGAAGTAGATTATCATCAAAGGGTTGTATGTTTTAGGTTTGGATTTCAGAAGGAGGTTGACATGATTATGAGAAATGAAATAATCAATGAAATTCTTTCAAATCATCATTTCTGCAATTTTGGACGATTTCAATAAGACTTTATACACAAGTGGACTGAACTAGATTCATAATTTAGTTATCAGTTCTTTGATAGCAGTGAGCATGGTATAACAATTTCTGAAATTCTTAAAATTTCACTCCTGTCTTTGTCCAAAGTCTATGAATAATAAAACATTTTTTTTAAGTTGACTTCAACAAGATTTGTGATTATTTCAGTGAAAATATTTATATACATATTTGAAGTCATTAAGTTTGTACATTAGTGTTTGAGTCAAAGAGCATTTTTGCCATGATTACTAAGGAGAGAACAGTCTGTGTGCATGTCATTAGAGATACATATGTTCTTATAGTTATAGTTTGATATTTCAATAAATCTAGTAAAAAGTTTATGAGCAAAATACATTATCTAAATGTAAGTTAAAAACGTTTACAGTCAAGATGAAACTTTTCTTTCCTTTGTTTAAAATGCAAACAGTTAGAGCTTTTGTCACGGGAGAGATAATGCCGATTCTGTCAGATTAATGAAACACTTCTGAAAGATCATTCAAAATAGCCATTAACATTTTTGAAGAAAGGTACAACTGAGAGTTAAATTTACCTTCCTGTCAACACTTAAACTGACAAAACCTGAATGAAACAGTTGATTTCATTCAGATAAAGAAAACAGGATGTTATGCTCTTCATTATAATTGCCAATATTTCATTCCATTTAGACTCCTAAGTTAATCACATTAACACAATTAATTTTCACGCAGGTCATTATTTACACACTGAATTATCGACGGATTTTTCCGTTATTTCCCGATCATGACAAGGAGCACACGGCGGGTGTGACCGGTCGGCAGGGGATGCTCACTCCTCCATGGCACCTGATCCCACCTCTGATGTTTAGAGGTCCGTGTTTGCTCTGCTCCTATTTTGTATTGTTTAATGGACTTTTGAGCTTGAATACTTTTCGTTATCTACATATATTCCATATACCATCTTTCTGATACATCGAAGGTTATTGACTTTGTCTGGGATTTAATGTCAAATAATGATACAGGAAACAAAACTCCATATATCTTATTAAAGGACAAATTATCGTCAACTGCAGATTTTAAGTAAATTTCCAAAATAGACACGTGTTTATATCAGACACTAAAAAAAACTTGGTGAACATGTAACTTCTTGATTCCTTGTCCATGTTGTCCAGAAACATTTTCTTGACTCGTTTTCTAACATTTGATTCAATCGTTTGTGTGAAATGTTACAGAGTTGTTTCACACAGATATAATGAAAGCCCACCAAGACAGTGATCGTGTTGCTTATTTAAATTTCAATTCACCCAAGTAGTTTTATGTGCCATTTATTATAATAAAAAATACACATGGTATGACTTGATATGCAGGGATTTGAAAGCAATCCAGCAAGCAATTTATAACAATCAAAGAGAGAGTCATTTCAGAGAACAGATATGATATTCAAATTTCTTAAATGATCATTAAAAAAGGAACATGAGTTATGAGTTGATATGCCTGGATTTGAAGGTAAATCAGCATGCAATTTATAACAAACAAAAAGAGAGGGTAATTTCCTAGAACAGATGTGATATTTCAACATCATAAATGATTATCTCCACCAACCAAAATTCAATAATTAAACATATGCAGAAGATTTGTCATCGGACTTGGTTATTTCCTTTGAATTATTGAGATCTTAACAGGGGCGGATCCAGCAATTTTTGAAAGAGGAGGGTTCCAGCAGGATGGTGCCCCTCTACCAACCCCTTCTCTCTCTCTCTCTCTCTCTCTCTCTCTCTCTCTCTCTCAAACATAGATTAACACACACATATTTATGTTGTGGTATATAATATCTTTACGTCCCTTAAGTCTTTGAAAAGGTATCCCCCAGTCCGAATAAAAAAATAAACACATTCCAGAAACTACTGTAGCCTTAAAATTGATTGGATTTGTATCATTCCAAAAGAATACATAGATTTTTGGTTTAGATTTTGAAAAAAACATTTTTGGTAGGTTTATGATCATGAAAACCTACGTAAAACAAAGGATTGCATTTAATTCACTGTGGCCTTATGCGTATTCCATTTAATGACTTATGTAAGATAATACCTCACAAAAGATGGTCAAAAACGGTGCTTATGGTCCAAAGTCAAAGATCGATGATATCAGATTAGGCCTCGAATGTTATTTATCATATACTGAAATAAGTAGAATATTTTCTACTATTCACTCATAAATAAAAACTCTGAAAGGGAGGAACAGTGAAGATAAATGGAGGAAAGAAAATAGTTATGTGAGACTTTATTTATAGCAAGTGAAACATGAAAAAAACGATCGAGCTGTTTTGAACTTGGTTTATATTCTAAACTTAAGTCAGAGTACAAATATCTATTCCAGAAAACATTTTATCCCCCCTCTCTCTATACTCGGCAAAAAAATGAAGGGGGGTTCCAATCCTCGGAAGCACCCCCCCCCTGGATCCGCCAGTGTTTAATGCAATAATTGTAATTTTAAGTTGGAAATTTTGTTATAGACTGGATTTCTGGAGCAGACGTTAATGTGTCGAAAGTGAAACGAATAGTAAGGGTGTAATGCTTGATATACATGCCGATCCATGTACCACATTTCATTTTTGTCATGAATGTATTGTAGTACGCAAGACAAAGCTTTTTTCGGCTCAGCTCCAAATACGTAGTCTCCACCGGTGTTTCATTCATAAAAACAAATCCTGCTTGTATTTATTCGGTTTCCCGACATTCCGGTTCCAGTTATGGATGCATGGTCGGTGAAAAACTAGCCAGCGTTGTTTGTCCCTTTCTATGGAATGAATGTAGATTGGTATAAAGGTATGTAATAATACAGAGATTCTACCTTGCGTATATATTTACATACAGTAGATTGAAGTTTCAATATGGGTGAAAGTGTCAAATCTATAAACATTAACGATATCGAGGACAGAGGTGGCGCCAAAATCAAAATGGCGAGGGTGAGAAGTTTACCTTTTAAAGTTAATCTAGATGAGGTGGACTTGTCTGTGAGAAGTATATATAAGGGATACCCACAACAGTGCTTACCTGACAATTTTAAAAATCCATCAGGGCCTAAAGCAAAGAGACTTGAATATGAAAAGATAGACACTTCGTTATATGAACCGTCAGCGCACATGGTGGCGTTTCGGATAACGAGGGAGCAAACTGGAAGCATGGATAAGAGCTCTGGGTGTATTGTATTATGAACATTATGGAAAGATGGAGGGATCATACTTAGTAGACTTGTATGACGAACCAAATGAATGGCTTGACGAAGGTAACAAATCAATCTGCATTGGATTGTTGAAAGAACCACATATACTGTACATAGTTACTTTGTTTGTTAACACTGGAGTAATCCAAGCACAAGGGTTACAACACGAGATCTTTGCATGAAATGATTTCCCAATGCTTCTTTCCTTCGTCAATGCTATTTGTGACTATGAAAGATCTACTAGAGCTGTTCACAATGAGGTAGCTGACAATGAGTTTGAGGACACTGATGATGAAACCTTATTAAAAACTGCAAATGAAGCTATGTCAAATAACCAAATGGAAGAAATAGGTTTGTCATCCTAAGATAATACTGAAACTCCCCGAGTTACATACAAGGATTTCGAAAAATTACAGAAATTTTTTGTTGAATTGTTGTCCAAGTTGACTGAAACACAAACAACACTAGTATCGAGGGTGGAGAAAAATCTGTCTGATTCATTACAGAAAGTTACCAGAACCGTAAACAATTTGCAGACCCAGTTCAATACATGAAATCTTTTACGGATAAGCAGACCGATGACACAAACTCAGATAAACTTCAGTATCATATAGCTGATATTGAAAAACAATTATATCAGACACGCACAGATAAATACAATTTAACAGTAGAAAATGCGAGATTGGAATCCCTGCTGAAAGCAGAAAAAGCAAGAAACAACACCATGGATGAGACATTGAGAAGAGAAGTCAAGAATTTGAAACATGAAAATGAACACTTGTCTGAAAAACTTAACACAAAAATGAGGAAAATGATCAACTCATGGATGAAAATAAATCACTAAGAAAAAATGTTGATAATCAGTTCAATAAAATTTTGTTCCTTAAATCTCAGCTCTCTAGCATGTTCATGAGTGGTGGAAAGGACACTGAAACCAGCAGGGCAAAAGAGATGACAGACCTGGTAGTCAATGCTGGGAAGAATAAAAAACCAATGGCCCTGTTAATAGGTACTTCTAACGTGAATGGCATAAAAAAGGATAAACTTACATCAGACGTAAACGTTACTAAAGTAACAGCTTTTACTCTGGATGAAACAAAGAATGTTATCATTAACTCTTCGTGCATACCTGATGTAGTAGTTCTTCACTCTCTAACAAATGATGTTTGAAATATTAGTCCTGAAAAATGTGCCGAGAAACTACAAGGGGTGGTTGAGGTTATTAAACAGAAGTGAAAAGACGTTCACACCATCATATCTCTAACCACACCAAGAGAAGACAACTCCTTGCACAAGGCAAACTGTGAGATCCTGGATGGGATAATAAAGAGCTACAATCGAACTACTGAATCCCAATGACAAATTTCACCTGTCTCCGAAGGGAACATCCATATTAGCGTCCA